CCGCGAAGACGCCGGAGATGAGCAGAATATACGATAGTGGCATCAATAGGAGCGCTGGGTTGATGAGGATGTCTTTTCACACCAACGTTTTACCACGGGTAACAACACCCCCATCACAGCCGTGTTAGAAACGCCCACATTAAGCATAATCGCCGGAATGAACAGTCTAAGGATTGCCATAGCAAGGGAGTTTGGTTTGCCCAGTATTCCCCCCTGGATAAATAGGTATTCAACTACGCCCGTCCTTTTCACTGCAGCTGATACTATCAACAATATCGCCACCGACAAGACGACCTCGTTAGAGAAGCCCTGCCATGCGATGGTGTTATCAAGAACACCAGTAAGACACAATACGAGTGTAGATGCAGTCATAACAGCATCGGGAGGGTACTGCCTCACAAGCAGTGATAATGCTAGTACTGTTACCACAATAGAAATATAAGATTTGTAGTTCAGTTTTGGGTACCCCAGTTCATAACAATTCATGATGTACCCGAAAAGGATAGTAGTAGCGTAAAACAACAAGTGCGGCCATTGACATCGGATGAATTTTCCTGTTTTTTGCACGACCATCCATACCACACCATCGTCACTTCCTCCCTGCTCCTCCCGCATAGATGCGTGCCGCGACAGGAATTGACCTATGTCTCGTTGACTTCTGCCCTCACCAACCTTCCTCGTCACACCACTCACCTCGACCTTTAATGCATCGTCATCTGCTGGAGATATACCATAAACCTTGCGGATCTCCTTGAGTCTAGTGGTGGCGTTGTGGAAGTCACATGCCTTCATCTCGAGAAGGATGTCGTCCATCAACGAAGTCGGCGGCTCATCGTCGGAAGCCTTGGGGTGTTCGCGACAATTCCGGACCATCTTGTCGTATTTCTTAGCAATCCTAGTAAGACCCTCTTCATTTAGGCATGCGTAAGCTTCTAGTTGTTTCATATCGTCAACAACTTGTTTTGCATCTTCTTTGCTGTCCACTTTATCAATAATCAGTGTTTCTTGAACAGAATAGAAAGTCGCCACTCGAATGATATCTAATTTCAACTCCTCGATGAACCTAGTGTTGTCCTTGACATTGCTGTTCTCCATCTCCTCCACAATTCCCTTCAGTCGGCTGTAGTTCATATAGTAGCCGCGCCACTCGGGTTTGCGTCGGTCTAAGAGGTATTGGCCGAATCGCATCGAATCATCGAAGAGAGAAAACGAACTGATAGAAGTAGAAAATTCAAACTCATGAAGTCGTCGAGTGGAAATCTAAACCCCTTCCCAAAACACCAGTCTCGTATGTCTCTCTCTGTACGGGCGAGCTGAAAAATAACAGGAAAATGGCTCGGCCGGGAATCGAACCTGAGTCGTCTCTATGAAGGATCAGAATTTGTCTTCGTCGTCGTCATGCGAAACACCAGTGCGATACAACGAAATAACCAAAACCTTTTCCCCAATAACGAGAAGCTCTTTTCTAAGAAAATTGATACCCTGTTCGCCCAACAACTCAATACCGCTGAACGGGACAGTTATCAACGACATTGCTGAAAATGGTGATACTAAATGTCATCAACAGTAACGATGACTGTAGTTTATCGTTGAAGTCGTTTCCGTGATGTTCCCATTCCAAGTCGTTGTTAACTACTTTTTACTCAACACACTTTAACATTGACACTGTTGTTGATGGAGGCAATGCTATGATTACACTTGATCATGTGTTGGTCTACTCGAGTGCTACACTTCCTTTCCATCGTTGATATGG